AGAGCCACCTCTCACGGGCCTGGAGCTGCTTAGGCACAGTTTGTAGTAGGCACGTATCAGAATGAATGCTTCTCCACAGGGAATTCCAATGTGAGCCGAGGCCAACCCACAGAGGTCATTAGCTGCCCAGCTCCATTCAAATCCAGCCCAGAAGCAGCCGCATAGCACAGGGAGATCAGCTCAGTGCTTTGTGACCACCTAGAGGGGTGGGATAGGGAGGATGGGAGGGAGGGAGACGCAAGAGGGAAGAGATACGGGGATCTATGTATATGTATAGCTGATTCACTTTGTTATACAGCAGAAACTAACACACCATTGTAAAGCAATTACATCCAATAAAGATGTAAAAAAAAAAAAGTAATTATCAATATGTATGTTCCTATTACCGTTTTTTTAAATGAAAAAAGAAATCCAGCCCAGGCTGGTGGGTAATCGGACTTGAGCTATCTGATGGCAAGGCTGACAGATCAATTATGGATCCAGCCACCACCTCTGTGCTGCGGGAAGAGAAAAAAGAGGTAGCTGGGAAGAGGTTAAAGTCACGTGAACAGGGATGACGCTCCACCTGTAGAATGCTCTGAGATAGCCAGCCTTGCACACCTCAGCCAGGCTTGAGGCAACGAAGTAAACCTCCTTCAGGTGTGCTTAACCACCATGAGGGTGGAGGCTAGAGGCTACTTGGTCCCCTTCATCTGGGAGACCCGCCATCCACCATCCCTGCCCTAAGCACCTCCCTCAGCCCTGAGTGAGAGTGCCGCTAGCTCCGTCACTTGAGTGACAAAGGTCTCCAAGTTGGCACCAACCTGTAGACCAGACGTCAGGAGAGATTCTAAAAAATGAGACCCAGAGAGGGACGTTGGAGAAATAACTGTGACTCACTCTTGACTTGGAACACAGACTACGGAGTAGCCAGTGGGGGAATAAAAGAAGTTTCAGCAAATTAAAGGTAGGCTGGATTTTGGAAGTTTCGCTTCTCTCCAAGATTGGTTTGACAAACACAGAAGCCCATGCAGAAAGTGTAAGCAGTTTGCTATTGTTTTTATTCTTCTCTCATTTTCCTTACACTGCTCACTCCCAGACCTCTAAGAAGTAGGAAAAGAGAAAATTGCAGAAAACTCCCAATAACCCTAAATTTTCATTTGCATCTATCGAAGCATCACCCTGGGATCTATAAGGTCCTGGGCGCTCGGGAGAAAAAGTTCCCAGAGAACTGCCAGAAATCATTGCCCAAGTGCTCTCCCGCTATTCTCCCATTTAATCATTCTTCACCCGCCCCACCAACACCCCACTGGAGGCTGAGAACTTCCCCTCCACACCTCATAAGTAATGAAGCCCAGGACCAGTCCCTGGTTATCCTGGAAACCTCCCAAATCACCCACATTTGTTAGCATCAAGACCCCTAAAAGAGGCACCTCAGGAAAATCCACAAGCCTTGGGGGGCCAGGAAAAGCTTCTCAGGGTAAAACCACCATATCTAAACATATTTTGCTTCCCATCCACTTTCCTGCTTCAATGGAAACCCAAAATTCCTTTCTGTCTCTCAACTTCTGCAGGCTTTCGACTGTTTTAGCAGCAGATCGTCAGAGCTCAAGGGGCTGCTGGGGGTCCTTTCCTCTCTTCTGATATTCCTCTGTAGCATCAATAAAACACATGTGGATGCACGTGTGCCCTCCACCCCCCAAAACACACACATACTCCTTCCATCTCTCTCCAAGGGCGAGGATCGACGGAGAAGGGAGGGGCAGCAGGATGGGAGTGCCCCAGATCAATGGATATTTGAAACGCAAACACATGGCCCGGGACCTACCCTGCATGTGTTAATTACCACACATGTGCCCATAAAGGAGTCTGTGAAACACAAGGGGCCCAAAGAACAGAGCGAGGCGAGGACATTCCAAGGGATTAAGTAAATAGTCTGAAGCTCTGACCCTCCTCCCCTCCCGGAGCACATGCATCTGGGTAAGATAACCGGACCTCCCTCCCTCCGTCCCCCACTTCTCCCCTCGGGCCCACACCTGTGGACCCAGGATCAGGAGCGACCCAGACCTCCTTGCGAGCCAGACGGCTGTGACCTGCTACCGCCTGGCCTCTCTCCCTCTCCCCTGCCTCCCGCTATCTCCCTGGGCCTCTTCCCCCAGCCTCCTCCCGCTCTGCCTTTCTCCTTTTTCTCCTCCTCTCCTTTGGAGGACTGATTCCTGGCTGGCAAGCAGACCCTCCATCGCACAATACGCCTTTTCATTCCTCCCCGGTGGAGAGAACTGATCCCTCCAAGCCCCATCCGTGGAGCATGTTCAAAAAGGCAAGAGGGTGGGGAAGGAAGGAGCTGGGTCCGTTCCTCCCCACCACCACCAACCCCCCAACACACACACCCAGACCCCCGGCCTCGCCCCCTTTCTGGCCGTCCTCCGGACCTAGCATCCTTCTGGGCAGGCCTTGGGCTGCAAGCTCCGGCTCCAGGCAGATGCCTTCTAGGAGACCCCACATGTGGGCATGAGCTCAGACAACGGCCCTTTGTGTCCTCCCACCTGCTGCCCTCCGGAGCACATTCCATTCTTCAGCGGCAGCTGAAAAAGGGACCTCGGCGGGGCCGAGACACAGGATATTATAAATGCCCTCTCGCACCCTGTTCCCATTCAAACCCCAGCTTCCTGGACAGGTGTGGCTTCAGGTGGCCCTTCCTACAGGTGGCCCGAGCCTGCTTTTCACTGCACTGCCCATGGCAGACAAACAGAAGAGATTCAACACCTCTGTGGACCCTCTGAAGGAGAAGGGAAGAGAGGCCACCGGGCAGAAGTCAAGTGTCCAGGGGCGAGTCAGCCCTAGCATCTCCCCCACCCCTCTGCCAGCCCTTTGCACCAAAAAGGAAGCCTCCACACAACAATCTAGGAGGGAGGAACCCACCGGGGTAAGGGAGCAAAGAGCCAGAAACTGCTGGAAACTTATCCCCCTGACACGAGGCTTCAGACTCTACCCCCCTGTTCCCTGCACCATTCTTGGAGGAACTGGATTCCCCCGCCTTCTTCCAACTGGATCAGCAAGAGCCCGCCGTGACCACAGGTCTGGTTCTTATTGTTATCCACAGGGTACAAAGCCACAACAAACTGGAAGGGACAAGCGGGGAAGTGCTTCTCTGTGCAGCTGAAGAACCAAAATCCTCTGGTTGGCCCTTCTTGCTGCAGGTGCTTAATTCAGCATCGTGCACTCAGTTCCCTTTGCTGGGGAAAGTCTGGGTGGTCCGTTTTGCATGATTGCTCTTTTTTTTCCCCTACCACCAGGACCTCATGCCCAGAAATAAAGGCTATGCTCCTGAAGACTTCAGTTGCAACGAGCAAAACTGAAGGCAGCTCCCTTTTCCAACCCCAATAAATTACAGGCAGACACGCCACTCACAGTGTTGACGATTTCAGATCTTTGCAGAAAGAAACATTCATCCCCTCTCCTTCTTTCCCTCCTAGGAGGGAACTACCAACGCTTGAGGCTGTCTCCCCCTGGGCTTGGAAGGACCTGGAAAGGTGCTTGCTCCCTTCTTTCACCCACTTACTCGTTCCTGCTCGCTGGAAGGGGAGGAGCCCATCGGGTCGCTTGGTCCATGGTTTCTATTGGGTGGTGGTATCACCTAGCTCCACTTCCATGTCTTCTTGGAGGGACAGCATGCAGCGACAGCATGTTCTCCAGACTCTCGGCTCCTGCGTTCGGGCGGTAGGACTCTGCCTCCTGTTCTGGTCCCCAAGGAGTAAGCACTTGGGGCAAGGTCCAAGGCTTGGCCTTGGTCTCCCTGTGACTGCGGTGGAGGATAAGCCTGTACGCCCCACACTGATCCTTGCGTGCCCAGCTCTCCACATGGACTCTTATGAGCCTGAAGTTCCCAAGGCCCAGATTCAGGTGGGAGCGGCTCAAACTCAGTCGAGACCTCCGGTCTGAGTTTTACCCGAGGGCACAAAATGGGGCTTCTGAAGTGCTTGCATGTACAAGAAAACTGATACCTGTTTTCCATGCAACTACCAATGTGTATGCTGTCCTAGAAGTAAGAAGCGGTGAAGCCTAGTGTCAGCACACTGGAAAGTATGGGTCAGCATCCTTGGGTCAGCACATCCCAAGGACCTATTCCTCATGTCGGCTGGTCCACTAAACAGCGCTCAGACAAATGCCCTAGTCGGGCCAGCTGCACAATTTGTAGGGCTCAGTGCCAAGTGAAAATGCAAAGTCTTTTGTTCAAAAAGCAGGAAAAAAGGTGCCACAAAAGACACTAAAATATCAAGGCTTATCCTCTCTTCCACAGTCTCTCTCGACTTGTCATGATGTTTTTTAATTTGCTATTTAGCGTTGTTCTAGGTAATGAAAACTGAAAATTCTAAGCGTACTATGGAAGCCCTGTAGCCTGCATCACAAGAGCTATCTGCCAATGAGGCTGCAGCAGGTAGGCATAGTACACGTGTCTCTTCTGCTCACACACACACTTCTTTGTCCCACTGGACTATACTTACAAAACCCAAGTTCAAAGGAAAATAATTAAGACTTTCAAGATAACAGCTGCATAAGTCACCTGCCCATGAAGCATCTAGTCTTAGTGAAAAGAATCTGGATGTGCTGGGACAATTATCAAGGAAAATGAAGGAGGAAAAAATGTTCAGATGGGTTTCCAAAATAAAAGAGTCAGGGCAGACTTGGGCATACCTGCCTTTGTTGTGCTTTTCTGTTTAATGCTGGCTACACTGGTAGCTTATTGACTGAACTTCCCAGGAACCAAGAGCCTCAGGGTCCCTGCCAGCTCTGTGCACCGCACTTGCTCACCTCTCTCAGAAATTCTGGGAGCTTGGTCCCCACCGCCGTATGAGCCTTACTTACCTCCGGGCTTCTGGGAGGAAACACAGAATAAGAATGGGAATTTTCTGCGGGGCACTTTTAGCTTTCACCCCAGGCTCCTTCCATCTTGTCTAAGAATGCCTGCTTGGACTGGCTTTAGAAGCAAACATTCAGATAAAGCGTGAAACTCCACTCACCTTTCCTTCCTGAGTTACCCTGGCTCACGGGCTTATCGGTGACTGAACCTTGGGTGAGAGGGGAAACAAAAACACAGACGTTCAGAATGCATCGCGGTTGGTTTCTTTCAAAGAGTTGGTAAAGCCTGATGTTATGAGCATGTGGTTATGTATATATATACATTGTATACACATCTAGGAACATTATATACAAAGTGAGTACATACATACATGTGACTGGGGTTTGTTTAACGTCAATGTCACTGATATCACAGCACTGTTGAGATGAACAATGATTTCCAGGCTCCCTGGCAATAGTCTTGACCAGATTTTTACAAAATTCCACAACCACATAACTCCTCTGTTGAACATTCCACGGACTGCCCCTCACCTCCACTTCCCACCAACTCCATGTTCTGAGCCCTATCCAGCCAGGGGGGCCAACTGAAAAGAAAACCCCTCTCACTGCAAATGCAATGACTGACATCCCTTGCTGGTTAGGGCAGGAAATCGGCAATTTTCCATCTGCATTAAGTAGAAAATTGTTGGCCCAATTGTAATGAATGGGCCAAAATAGTCTGAGGCATGGAAACAATTTTCTAGATGCAGCGTGTTCCTCAAGGAGGGGGCAGTCTGGGGGGTTGGCCAAACGCTTTGCCCTGCATGTGCTTGGATGCCCTGTGCTGCCATCCGACGGTCCTGACCTTGTTGCACCTGCCTTTCCCATGACACCCAACCCCGCACATGCAAGGCACAGCCAGCCCAGGCACACCAGGGCATCTGTGGAAGTCCCCGCCACAAAAGAGGAGAAACACATCGCAATCCGTATCCAACCCCTTCTCCCTATACTAGCTTTGTGAGAATTCAATTATATTTCCCTTCATGACTTGTTTCTAGCACATTTGTTTGCTTTAAATGAAACTTTCCAGGTCATTTGCAAGGAGGCCTCATTCCTCCCCCTCCCCACACCAACCCCAATTAAGGTTTCCAGTTTCCATGTAAACCACAAATAAAGTAAACTTTCCTTTTTGGCCTGCAAATTTTGGTTTCCTAATGTAGATACTTACTGCCCTTTCCACTCACTTTTCCCCTTATATAGCAGGGCTGGTTGAACAATGAATAAATTTGGGGAAAAAAAGGAAAACGTTAGAATAGCAGGACTGCCTTTGGAATTTCCCAGAGGTTTTAGAATAATGTTTTATACTTTGCTTGCACTTAAAAATTAAAAATAAGTAAATAAATAAAATCTCATATACACAGAGTACAGAGAAATAGGAAGCAGCTGGTGGATGGGATAGGCTTTTTTTGTTAACGTGGGCTGAGCTGCATAGTGAATTAAGGGAGTGTCTTGAAGTCCCTTCCCATCTGAATGGAAGTGGGAAGTGTGAAGCTTGCCTAAATCCGTAATGCACAATCCCACAAAACTGACCTGAGGACAAAATTTCTCTCTGCCTATAAAGTTGGAAATAAAAAGGACTTAATTTTTCCTATGGACTCACCCAGAGGGTTGTTATAAAGCAGTGGTTCCCCGACTTGTTTCATCATGAGAACCACCTGAGAAGCTTCCTAAACATGTGGACTCCAAGTCTCCATGACCACTGGATCCGAATACGGGAGGAAAAGCCTCCACACCTGGATTTTGAATTCCCCAGGCACTGCTGATGACAGCCAGATTTGAGGGCCGCGGTTATGAATGTTTTGCATCACCATACATTACATTGTTCAGGGGTTGCAAACGTATGGCAACGTAGACCACCATTCTCCTCTCCTGCACCCGTGAAAGACATCACTAATTGGTTGTCACAGCCTCTGATGTTGAACTCCAACGTAGTCTTGAAATTTATCTCAATAAAGTGTGCACCCAGGGCCACTACCAACCAAGAGCACACAAGCTACAAACTTATATGCCATGCTCTCTAGAGGTTATGGCCGACGCTTGAGAAAAGAGCATTGAACCAGAAACTTAAACTCAAAATAAATAGATACATACACACAGACATAGACTGACCCTATCACCCAGCTGACAACAGAGCAAAAGCATGTTTGGGTAGACTCCTCCCTGACCTGGAAGAGGGCTCATAACCACCACCAATCTTTCAAAAGCGCACCCACAAGATTCAGGAGACCAGCCAAGGGGTCTCTCTCCCACCCTTTTCTTTCTTCCCGCCCTTCCCTACGGTACCTGAACATACAGGAGTTTTATTCTGCACAGAAGAGCCACTGATGGGCTTCCCATCTGGGGTGACACACCAGCAGTACCCCGTGTAAGTATGGCACTGCACCTGTTCGGGGAAGTGGGAAGGAGAAAAGAACCGTAAGTCTTGGGTCACAGTATCCACAGTCACCTCCCACCTCCTTCAAAGCATCCCCAGCATAGCAGAGAACTCCTACCTCTCACCCAGCATCCCTCCCCCGAGTGTCCCTTGAAGGCTGGCCAGACAACGTTGATTACATTTTCTGTGTGACCCCCAGGAGCAACCAGAGCAATTTACTGTTTTCTTATGACATTTAATGTTTAATCTCTTATACCGTACTCGGATACGTCCGCTGTGTATTCCATCCATTTGTAAAAAATTGACTGGTGAACTAATTTGGCAAGTACAAGTTGGAATGTCACCACTGTAGGTTGATATGACCCTTCTTTAAGAAGCAGAGACAAGGGAAAAGCTTTTCTTCTTTTTCTAGCTTTTCCCAGCATCCGTTCCTATAGCCAGCCTGCCTGTTGATCACATGGCTTTCTTGAGAAAAGGGCACACGTGATGGGGTTAAGGTAAAAACAAGGCCACTTGTGCCTGCAGATTCTAGTTCTAGATGCCCTGCTGCACCACTGTGTGATCCTCCTCAAGTCTCCGTGATGAGGTCCATGCTGCCTGGGAATAGTAAATAAGAATGAGGCTTTTGGCTTCATTTGGGGTAACTCTCCTTTCTCTCTCAATAGCTGTCATTCTGTCCACGTCCTCCACGCCGCCCCACCATCCTTTTCCCACCCACTTTCTACACAAATCAGGGCATCATTCCCCTGCGTAAAACCTCTCGATGACTGGCCATTGTACTCAGGATGGAGATGATGCTGATTTGCACGAGCTTGAGGGCCCCCATGATCTGCCCCCTGCCTATCCCCACAGCCTCATTCTACTCTCAGGTCTCCACACCCACCATTCCAGCCACAAGCTGGAATGAGCCTTTGAGGCTCACAAACACATCCTAGTGTCTCATGATTCCGAACTTTTGTTTGCTCCAACTGGTCCATCTGCCCAGAATACCATTCCCCAACCCATCCCAGCACACTCCCAAACCCTCTGTCTTCCCACCCCATTCATGATACACCTCCTTAAAGTGCCCCCAGCCTCCCCACCTCCTCTCCCTCCTTCCTCCGACCCTCCACACACCCTGGTTCCCCAAATTCAGAGCCCTTATTACAATGAGCTTAACTGCTGATCTGTCTAGTCTATCTCCCCCATTAGACTGTGACCTCCCTAAGGCAAGGGACTGAATATTGGCTATTTCTATATTCCAAGCATCTAGCACAATGCCTGACGTTTATTGTAGGCATTTGATGAGTTGAATAAATGCATGAATTACCATATTTCCTAAATTCTTGGTCTCCATCCATTCTAAAAATATAACAACAATTTAAACAGCCCTGCCACATTAAATGTAGACCTCAATTACAAGATGTGTGCCAATTGTACAGGCATTAAATTGTGCGGAAAAGGTGCCGCTTGGGATCAAGGATACATTAGAATTGAGGATAGACAATAACAGCATACAAATCAAGTGGTGAGGGATACAAGGGGTACAGAGGTAAAGGAGAGATTTGACAGCTTGGGTAAAATCCAGAAGTTATCAGCAAGACAGAAAAGCTACAGAAAAGGCTTCTGCTCTAGTGTGGGTACCAAACATCGCAGTTTTCCCCAAAACTAGTTGCTTCATTGAGACCTACCCATAGAAATCAGGATAAGAACAAGATGTAGGGCATCTTGTTCCTACCAGTAAAAAATGAGCATTTTTATTTATCTCTACTGTGCATGCAGGGGAACTGTAGTCAATGCCTTTACCCCAGGACCATGTTTCACTCCTGCTTCCTCTAGTAGAGACAATCCATAACCCCGTGGCCATGGTTCCTACCCCAGATTCTCACCCAAGATCAATGTCCTAAGGCAGGTTAGTGCTACCTTCTGAGGAAGCCTAAGGGTGGGATGGAAAGAAACCCAGACAGACCTGGGTTTGAATCCTGATCCAGCCAGTTACAAACTGGCATGTTACTTAGCTCTCTGAGCCCCATCTATAAAATGGGGATAACAGCGCCAAACCTGAAGGGCTCTGACAACGAAAACAGTGTGAGGCCAGTGCCTGGCACGGGCCGGTGGCCGGATACAGGATGGCTGCAGCAATGATTGCTCTCGGCTGTGTCAGGAACACCCGGCAAGCCGCCCTCCTAGCGGGCCAGAGCTCCCCTGGGAAGCCCCAGAGGTTCAGGTGGGAACTAGTGCTGGAAACTTGGAGCTCTCGCCCTTCTGTCCGGCCCACAGGGGATGGCTCCGAGGGGTGACTCCTTGCCAGTGGCAGCATTTTAATGGGGCCTGGCTTGCTGCTTCTTCCTCCTTGGCCAATAATCGCCTCTGGGGAAGCCTGTCTCTGCGGCCAGGTGGCCACGCCGACTCACGCCCGGGCCCCTTGGCTCCCACGGCCAAGGCCAGCCTCCCTTTCCGTGAGGATGGTACCCCACCCAAGTCCAGCTCCGAGGCTGCACGGAGCGCCCCTCCTCCTGGGCCTGCAGAGTCCCAGCCAAGGCTGCTGGGGACAGAAGCACATGCCTGTGGAAGAGACTGAGCCCAAAGCTTTGTTTTGGCGGATTTAATCTGACCTCGCAGCTCAGAAGGTCCCAAGGGCCACATGCTCACTGAGAGCGCCCACTGCATCTGTATGGGCTCGGGGACACTGCCTCCCAGCCCCCAGCCAGGCCCACAGGCCCAAACACGGGCCCTTTCTCCCCAGGGCCCTCGGCATTTTCCTCAGACCAGGCTCCAAGGAACAGACTCCAGATGACAAAATCCTCAGGCTGAAAGCTGCTTCCAAGTCCTTTAGCATTTTATAACTGGAATTGAATGAGGAATTGTTGCCATGTTCCTCTGAGGCTTGGAATCCACCGTTACGGGCACACCTGCCCCAGGTGTGCTGCAGGAGAAGGAACAACAGTGAACAAAAGAAGACCCAGAGGATACAGGCAGGGTCTCTGCCTGCAGGAAGTGCTGGGAGTGCCCAGCAAGGTCACTTCCCTTTGCTGAAGGAGCGCTGACTGAATGGACCCATGGTTCTCAGTTGAGAGGTTGTTTGTAAGTTGTCTTGGGGAGTTTCCAAGATGTCTTCTTGAAGAAAAAGAAGTTATAAGGAGACGGAAAGCGATGGTCATGGAGTCAGACTGCAGCCCATCTTCCTTAACTGACCAGCTCTGCCACTTCATTTTAACTGAACCACTGAACTTTCCAGCCCTCTGCAGCCTTGGAAAGGTTTGCAGTCAAACCAAGCTTCAGCCTGTCCATGACTATTTAAAAAGGGGGAGATAATAATACCTACCTCACGCAGTTGCTGGGAGGATTAAACTAGATAATGTAAATAAAGCACTCAGTTCACATGGTAAGTGCCCAGTTAAACTTAGCTATTTATTTTTATTATAATTATGTTATTTTTTAGCCAACTCTCTGTACACTCAAAAAAAGCACAGCTAGATTCTCTGGTAGAAACTAAAGAACATTCTATTCTGAGCAGCCCCAAGGGAAGGGGCGATCTGAAATCAGCAAAAAGTGTGAACAAGTTTGAGTAAAGGAAGGGGAAGCTTGTTTTCATATGGAAATAGTTCTGTTACTGTCAGATGAGAGAAGTCAGGTTTCTTGCAGAAAAGCAATCAGGATGTAAATTCTATAGAATCGATGGTTTATATATACGTAATCAAGAGGTAAATCCTACCTAGTTTCACCTCTCCCTTGCAAATGTATTTATTCTTTTAACTTAGTAAGTAATCCCCTTTGCTCTATCTCTGCCCCACAGCCCACACACCAGCCTCAAATTAATCAACTCTCAGACTTAATCTATGTGAAAAGCATGGGCCAAGAGGAACTGACAAGGCAACTGACTATTTCTAGTGTCTAGCCTCTAGTGCAGTTTTCAAATCTCAGGGTTGTTCTAGCCACAAAGGTACAGATACAAACCATGGCATTTGTTCCTACCCCACTCCGGAATATTCTGGGAAGGCTAAAAGGTAAATTGATGGGTCCTCCTTAAGAGACAAAAAGTGTTTTTACATCAACCTAAGTGAGGTTACTCTCTGGTTATACTGTAACTACTCTGTGCATATATATCTGGTACTCCTAAAGGTGCTTTAAAAACAGTGTATTCTTAGGTAGGTAAATTTCATCTCTGACTCATATACTTAAATAATTTTGGCAAGAAGCCCTTTGCAAAAACAGCCCAGCAGTGTACTTCAGGTCAACCTTTCTGTCCACATTAAGGCAAATCTGAAATTATTTTAAGCCTGTTACATTAGGTCAACTTGTAGACACCTGGAAGAACGTGGGAGGCTAGCACTCCCAGTGAGTGCAGTTGAGTGACTGATGAGCAGAGGAGAACAGAGCAAACACCAGCTCACAGGGCAAAGCCCATGGAGCTTTGGAGGAAAGCCAATGGAGGAAAGCAGGAGAAAAGCAAGGGAGACAATGGACCACGTAGAGAGACAAGGATCACTCAGGTGCCACGCCCCAAATGGAAAACAACACCTTCTAAGTTTACAATGACTTTTCAATCACCACCACGACAGACACACTATCTCTTCTGGATCTCAAGGTCACCCAGTGTGCAAATCTTTCCTAGGAGAGGTAGAGGGAGCAGAGGTTACTTGTTCAAATGTTACAGCTGGTTCGTAACAGCACAGGAATTCAGATACCGATCTCCAAGCTCTCATAAAATTTCAGAATTGACAGAGCTGGAAAAAGCCTTAGGGATCACCAGTCTCATCCAAATGCTTTACAAATGAGGAAACTGAGACCCAGAGACAAGAGAGGTAGCGTGATGGCCAGGACCTAGTCCTGGCAGACAGAAGTCCCCCCAGCCCTGGAAGGGAGATGAAGAAAGGCCTGGGTCCCAGTGCTGGTGTCTGAGGGAACTGTCTTTGTGCCCTGTAATTCTCTGGCAGATGGAACTCTTTTGGGGGAGAGGGAGAGGAGGTAAGATAAATATTCAAATCAAGAGCCTTTTGCTCCAGTTTGAGTGAGAGGCCATATCTGGA